AATAAATGGAGATGGATTCCCATCTCCGGTCTCTGTAGACATTGGAACCATCCCCACTCAGGGGATTTCCAGCCAGTCTGTCACTCAGAACTTCAAACATGGAAGCTTGAAGCACCTCAGATAGTTAGGACTGCAGCGGGTACTTTTCCATTTTGTGGACTGAACGTAGGGCCTGCTTTGCACCCAGCCCCTTCTGGCATTTTTGTTTTGAATTTGGAGCTAGGACCTCACAGATTGCCGAATGGCCAGGTCCACAGGGCAGAACCTGGAATTGTCCTGCTTCAGCCTCCTAGGGTGCTGGGCTTCGGCTTCCCTGTTCCTCCTGGACCTAACGGGAGATGTTCTCAGGAAGCTGTGAAGACTGAGAGGGGAGCCACTTATCACCTGGGGTGACCTGGGGTGTCACCTGTCACCAGCAGGAAGTCCAGATGCAGTGACAGAGGAGGCCACAGGACGGCAAGCTGCATACACAGCATCAGCTTTGGGGCACCACGTGCTGTGCAGGACTTTGATCCTTGGGGCTCAGACTCCGGACCTCTGGGCGCCATTGCAGCCACCTGGGTCTCCTTCACTCCTCGATGGCCTCCATTTTCAGAACAAAAATCCACTGGAACTGAAATCACCGCCCGTTACTGACTAAAAACTAGAGGTCAGCCTAAGACCAGCTGAATTAAAACGGCATGGTGCTGAGCGTAGACGGCCCACCTGGGGAAGTTGCCAGCATAAATGGAGAAGAGCATGGCGTGGTGGATTCTCTAAGTGTTTCTGTTCTCCTGGAGAAGCTGGTCATGCTGGCTTCCCTGATACGAACTCGGCTGTTGTGATTGGAGGAGCTCGGGCCCTTGTCCCTGAGGATGGCTGAGGTTCACTCTGGGGGAGCTCTGGTCCTTACTGTGAGCATCGCTTTCTGGCTCTGAAGGGGAAGATGTGGGCTGTTCAGTTTCCAGGAGAAGCTGTCACACTGGCTTCCTGATATGTAGTTGGCTGTTATGATCATCAGAGGAGCTCAGGACCTCATTGTCACTGAGGATGGCCATGGTATTTTGCCCTGGTCCTTACTTTGAGCCTTGCTTCCTGGATTCTCCAGTGCAGAACACTCAACCTACTGGCACAGCTCCTTCACCTGCTAGCACAGATTCTCTAGCTTCCACCACTGACCTTTAGGCCTTCCTAGTGCAGATCCATGGAAAAGACGTGCATGAGTCAATGTCACGGGTTCTAGAACTCCAGCTGGACTCATGGTGGGGGGCTGTCACTGAGCTTCCAAGTTAGGGAAGCCCAGGGTGAGAGAGGGGAAGAGATGGGGAGGGGACAAAAGGAAGGTGGAGGAAGGGAAGGGTGAAGGGAGGGGGAGGGGAAGAGCGCAGGGAGGAGGGTGTACACCTGAGTTCCTAGACCACATCGTAACAGCCTGCACTGCACCCCACATTCACCTGAGCCCAAATCCAGGTCTGGAACCCGCTAATGCACCAGCTAAAGCCCTGGAGACAGCACCACACCTTTCGGATTTATTCCAAAGTGCAGGATGCCCAGAGCTTCTGCAGGGCTGGAGGAGGCCTGACACAGGCTGCATGCCAGTGGCTTTTCTCCTCTTTCGGGGCACTGAACTAGGAGCTCGGGGAGCCAGTGGCCAGCGTGCTGCCTTGGTCTCACAGTGGATCTCACTGCCCGGGCACACTGCCTTGTGGCCCCCTAGGACAGAGCCATTGAGCTTCCTCAGTTAAAAGAAAAGGACAAGAAAGGGGTATGTGAGAGAGAGAGAGAGGGGAGAGGGAAAGGGAGAGGGAGAGAGGGAGGAGAGAGAGAGAGAGAGAGAGAGAGAGAGAGAGAGAGAAAGGACTCGAAGCCCGGGCTTCCATAATGAATCAGCCCTTTTTTATTTTGAGGTCCTAAACTGGCCACCTTGGGATCGAATTCTGCAATCCTCCTGCCTCAGCCTCCAGGGTTCTGGGATCCCAAGTCTGCACCACCACACACAGTTTAAAGCATTTTACTGCATTCCTAGATGATAGCCCAGAACAGTTTTCCACAGTGGTCCAGGGCAACGCGCCCTGGGATGCCACCCTTAGCTGTCCACTGCTTTTAATAAAGACGCATGTGTGGGTGGGCGTTGACCCTGTGTTCTCTGTTTACTGTCCTTCAAACTCCACTACTAAAAGCAAGGGTGGGAGGAGCCGACCCTCGGGGTTCAGAGTCCACAGGGCCTGGCTCCAGGACTGGGCTTCAGGTGACCATGCATGGCACCCGGGGTGAGCTCCCCAGGCACTGTGGCAGTGGAACCGTCACCCTGGTGCCCGCAGTGGAGCGCAAGCCCCCTGCTCCCCTCCAGTCCTAGGGCACCTTCAGGCTTTTCTTGCCTAAAACGTGTGACAGCGTGACATTGTGTTCTATCCCAAGATGACAAACCGTTACCTTTAAGTGACCTCCAAGCCTGCCTGTGCCTGTGACACACGCTCAGGTTAAATTCAGGTTCCTCATAATCCCTTACAAGAGGGGGAGGAAAACCCTTCCTTGGGAGTTGATCGCTGCCTTCTCCAGTGACAGGTGTGAGCTGGGAACTCAGTGCAGAGACTGAGTCAGCGCGACCTCTGGGTGACGCCGCTGGGGTGAGGCCCGGGGCGCCCTGCGGTCCCAGGGCTGGGGCTGCCCTGCCCTCCTGATCCCGGGCACCTGCAGAGCCTGGTCCTCCCCTCACTCTGAAAGGCTGAGGAGCTTCCTGGGATGTAAGAGCCCCAAGTCCTGGGCCTGAGCCCACAAGAGCTGCCTGAAGCAAGAGGAAGAGAGTAGTACAATGACGCCTAACTTTGGCACCACAAGTCTTAGGCACACAAGCATCCTCTAGATCCCAGCGTACTCCTAAAAAGAACTGAATACCACGTGAGAAGCCAGGAAACAGAAAAGTCTAGTAGAAAAGAAAGAAAAAGAATGAATAAGAAAATTGCACGTGGTAAGTGTTTTTCGTGGGTTTTTTCCTCTCCAATGTTTTGTTTGCTGACTGTGGCGAGCGCGCCCCCTGGTGGTAGCTCTCAGTACCTGCAGCCTCATTGCCACAGCTCAAAATATTAAAAACCAACTTTTGGGTGTCTTCCTTGCTGGGAGCCCTGCAGAAGGGAGCACTGTCTTCAAGGAGTTTGCTCAGGGCGCCCGTGTCACAGGTGGTGCCCCCTAGATGCTGTTAGGTGCTCACCTGGGACGGATGCCCTCACAGGGGCGGTGACAACGTAGTGCCCCAGGCCCAGAGTCCCACGGGCTGCAGCCCAGTCCAATCCAGCACATGCCAGGAGGCAGCCCGAGGTTCCAAATGGTGGCTCGGGTCACCGCGTACCCTTTAGCAGTCCAGGCTCCCAAAGCCAGCACACACGTGTCTCTCACATGCACGCACGCACACATGGCACAGATGTCCTCGGATCTGCTGCCTGCCATGGTCTCTGAGCTCCTGCTTGGAGGAAGGACTGGGCAGGGTGCCCCAAGCCACTCTTCATCCTGCAGGGCACCCTTCACACACTGGCTGTGGATCCCACTGTTCCACTTTTCCTCCAAGCGACAGCTTAGGGAGAGGTGCTCAGGCACTACACGCCCTGCGTGGAGGCTGAGGCCAAGGATGGTAAGTTGTACCCATATGGGCAACTTAGTGAGACCCCCACCTCAGAGATCGACGCTAAAATAAGAACGAGGTTGGTGTAAAGGCCCCAAGTTCAGCCCCCACTTTTGGCCAAAAACCCCAGTAATAATAATAGTAATAATTCAGGTTATGGATTCCACCAGCTTCGCTGTCAGCACAGGCTCCTTCCTGGCTCTGGCTTTGATCTTCTCCTTTGTAAGCAGGAAGGGCTGGACCGACATTTCCAGTGATCTGAGAGCTCAGGGCTTCCGACTCCATCATTTCCACTTGCCTCTGCACGCAGACTTCAACGCTGCTGCTTTCTGCTTCTCCGAGGTTTCCGCTGTGTTTGGGACACGCTAAGTCCCTCGCAGCCTTTCTCTTTAGACTGAGTCAGTTCTCCTAAGGGCTCTGTAAGTTCCGGGCTGCTTTTTTCTTTCCCAGGTGGCAACTGTTTCTATACCCTGGGAGCATCTGAGGCAGATGATGGAATGGTCTGGGGTCAGTTTACCCTTTTCCCTGACACTACATTCAGAATCACTCCCACCCCACAGACCTTGTGGGTGCCCCTTGTCCCCTCTCCAATGGTAGCTCAGCCTCCACGTGGCCTTATCACACTGCAAACCCCGTTCCAGCTCCTGTCACCCCTGCTTCCTCCAGACACTTTTGCTTCCTGCCCCAAACCTTGGCTTCCTGACCATCACCGACCGCCCTGAAAACCGCAGGCAGGGCAGGCACGGACAGCTACTGGAAGGACATTGCCTCTCAGAACCCACTCCCCCACCCTGCTTTAGAACATGGGGGGGACTTGGGGTCAGGGTCCGACTCTCTCTGGCACCTTCTGACCTGAGCAGCACTGGCGGGAAGCTCACCCAGGCGGAGAGCACATCTCCAGTGGACCTGGTTCTGCTCCCAGCCTCTGTGCGCTCTGGCATGAACCAGAGCACACTCAGTGTCTCTGAATTTTAACAGCATTTTGATCCTGGTGAAGAAAATCAGCCGCTTGGGCTGATTGTTCATTGTTCACTGTGTAACCTCATCTGCTGCTAATGAAAAATAATGGATTCAAATTATCCTACTGTTCCAAAACATGGCCAAACATGCATAACCAGCGTTATATCCAACATGCTCAAAAGGATTAGAGAAATGTACATGGGCCTTAGTACATTCTATTCTGATCTGATTAGCAGGAAAACAGAAACAGGAATCACATACACACTTCACACTGCACCTGGATATTCATCCAACACAGAGCCTCTCCTGACACGGAAATTCTAACCTAACCGGGCACAACAATCCTTTTTAGCCACTGCTGGCCCTTGGAAAAGTGCAAAGACAAGTTAATGCTACAAGGCTGTAGCCACGGTCCGCAGCCAGGGTGTGAGACAGAGCCACTCACCGGTGTGCGCATAAATTGTTAAGGCGAAGTTCAGACTTCTCCTCGGCAGACAACCCATCCATCAGCAAGTAGAAAATCAGAAAGTTGCTCTGGCCAGGAGGCTGGGACACAAGTCTGGACTTCTCTAGCATGTAGGCATAAATTCCGGCTGGTAAAGAAAAGCAGCTGTTAGAGGGCATTCGTAGATCCACGTCCACACACACTGATTCATTTTGAGGGGCAATGCAGCTTCCTTCCCAACACAGATTTTTAAAAAATATCAACAGACTTTATTTTATTCTTCCAATATATAGCAAATACTTTTATTCTGAGATATGGGATACTTATTTATTATAAGATCGATACACAATCGAAGTCCCTCTCCTTCACCAATCAAGTACATTTATGTGCTTTTGAAATGCAGTGATTTTATTTTCTAGGCAGGTTTGACATGGAAGTAGATGAAGCAAAAAGTATGGTAGGAGACAGCGCTTCCCCGCAGTGTCCGTGCAGCTGTGTGCACACAGCCTCGCAACCAGCTGGGAATGCAGCTGGAGGTCTCTGAAAAATTTCCTTTTTCCTCTGTTTTAGCTGAAAACATTTTCTGATTAGTACAAATAATATTCACCTGGAAATTATCCACCGATGGAGAGCATGTCTGAAACCTGCACATTTGTGATCTACACTGCCAGGACTGCCCCATGACTTCCTGTCTGCCCCTCAGAAGCGCAGGGTAGTGGGGGCAGGCTGGGAGGTGCCAGCACCTCTGTGCTTGGGGACAGGGGTGACTTTGTCCATGGACCTGGCCACGTGCAAGTCCCCTTCCAGCAGCATGCAGGGCTGGCCTGCACTGCCCGGCAGAGCAAGTCCAGTACCCTCCACCCCACTGCAAAGCTGAGTCAGGACTGAGTGTGCGGCAAGCGCTGTGGGTCAGTGGGAGGCAGAGAGCAGGAGGTCAAAAAAGGACAACTCAGAGGAGGCCAAGGAAACCCAGCAGAGCCTCACATGCCGCTGTTCCAGACAGACGAGATGCAGTCCTTTTGTTTGTGTCTGAAGTGAAGCTGTGACGACACGGGACAGGGCCAGGTTTCTGAGAGCCCAGGACTCAGGCAAGTGAGTGTCCTCACCCCCAGGGGTTTCCTACTATGGCTGAGGTCTCCAGGCCTGCTGCTCCCAAAAGCCTTTCATGCTAGAAACCCGCTGGGCCGGAAGTACCCACAGGCTTCCCTATGAACACGCTTTTCAGTCTTCTGCCATAGCGTGGAGACAGTGCTGACACAGTGAACAGTGCAGACACTTTCTAGAGCTCATGTCCAGGCTGTGTCTGCTTTGAAAGGAAGTAAGGGAGATAATCTCCCCTCTCCTCCAGACAGAATTCCTGCCTTGCCCTTTCCAGGGATCCCTAGGATGTCCCCACCCTGTCCTCTTCTGCCCTGCCCAGCTGTCCTAAATCCAGAAGGAGGCAGGGTCCCTTCCCAGGAAGCCCAGCAGCCTTGGGCTGCCAAAGTTGCTCGACTGGCCAGGAACGGCGGTGCTTTCTCTCACGCCCATGAGTGTCCTTTTGCCTCCCGATTAGTGGCTATCGCTGGCAGGTAATGCAGGGTGAACCCCAGGAGTTCCAGCTGCATCACAGGTGCCCACCCACACCCCTCACAGCTTCACTCTGCCCATTCGTGGCATGGGAAGGAAAGGCACAGACCTCCCAGGACCTTTCCGGACCTCAGGAGGAAAGCAAGTCCGTGGATGTGCCCCCTGCAGGCAGATGCCCAGGGTGGGATGCTTCAGGCCTTGCACAACTGAGCCCGGGATCCAAACGGGGTGGCTGGCAACACAGGGCGCTGCTCCAGTCCTGCGCCAGGGTCAAGGAGGGTGCTCGGAGACTATCTCATGGGACCAGTGGAGAATGCCCTGCTGAGGGCCTGAGTGTAACGGTGAACACAATGGCACGGCACCTTTCCTGCACCTCGTTTATTTAAAAATCAGACAGGACTTGGAACCAATGCTAAGGGAAGACCTTAATACGTTTTCTACCTCATCTGGGCTGACACCGAAGGCGACCACAGTTCCCTGAGTCCGTGGCCGGCTGTGGGGCGCTGATTGGAAGGCATTTCCCCTGCTTAGTGAAGGCATTTCCTTTTCAGTGTAACTGGATTTGTGAGTCTTCAGCCTAAAGAGAAGGCAGAGAGCCAACAGTGTCCCCATTCCACGTGGGGACCCTTGGTCCTGCTCCTCCCTCGGTACTTAGTGGGTCCAGCACATTTCAGGGGAGGGAACACGAGATTTGACACAGCAGGGAAAGAGCAGAAAACAGCAAGTGACAAAGAGTGAAGCTGATGCACCTGAAGCTCCTCCGAGCTTGAAGCATTTGGGGTGCTGAATATCCTCACAGGACAAGTGGGGAAACTGAGACACAGAGAGTCGGTGACCTGCCCCAATCTACATGCAGGAGGACCAGGGTCCAGCCGGGGCCCCTCACAGACTTGGCTGTGCACATGTGGTGTGAAGGAAGGTCTGACCTTAGGACAGTCCACTTCCTAGCCTTTCTCTGGCATGGCTTCCCAGAAAGGGAACATTACCATCGGGAGACCGCCCTTATCCAAGGCAGCCCCGGAGGATGGGAGAGCCCTGTGTGTCCTGGGCCTGGTGACGGTCCTTCCATCAGGTTTGGGAGAGTGGTCTTCTCTTCAGGTGTAAATGCCCTGGAAGAGGAGGAGGCTGCTGCCTTGGTTGAGAGGTGATCTGCTCCTTCTCCAGCAGCTCTGCCTGGGGTACAGAGGACTAGGCAGTGCTGGCCTCTGGCTGCCTGGGATCATCTGGGACTGAGTCCTGCAGGTCCTGAGAAGCTCTCTCTGCCCACAGGAAGCTTCTTGGTGATGGCTTCCAGGACGTTCATCATGACCACCATGTCAGCTGGTCTTTGTCCTGCGCAGACATGGCTGTGCAAGCCTGGAGGTTCCTGTTAGACTGAGACATGGTTCAAAGGCGGTTTATTTCCAAGCGAATGAAATGCAGCGGAAAGGAACAAAGGTGAGGGTGGAGGCCTGTCGGTGTCCTGTCCTGTAGTTGAGGGAAGAGGACACCTCACGGTCATCCGTTCATTGAAAGTGGGTGCTGCCTCAGACTCTGTCCCCTTGGAGGAGGGCACTGGTTGGGCAAAGTGGCCCTGGGAACATGGTGATGGTCACTGCGTCTGTGGGAGTGTCCTAAGTGGGCTTGGACCTCACGCCGTGTAAACCCTGGCGCTCTCAGACGACAAACAAGAATAAAAACCACTTGGATGGACACAGCGATCCAGGGAAAAAAGTGTGAGACTCAAATGAAAGGGTACTGGGTCGCCACAACTAGGGCTTTGGGCAAAAAATGTAAAAACTTCTTCATCCCTGAAGGCCCACTTCCGGGAAAGTCACCGTGCGGGAGGGCAGGGGGGTGCTGGGCCAGGGGCCCGATGCAGGGCTGAAGCCAGCCTAAGCTGTTACTAATCATGCTTTTTCCAAAACGGGAACACCCTCAGCTTTTCTATTCGGGCTTCCATAAAGCCCCACTGCATCTCGGGTAACTTGGTGGACATTAAATTTCAGGACGATTTTACATGGAATCAATCTGAAGGATCTGCCTCCTTAAAAATGATAAAGTTTTATACATTTTAAACAGATCCTTGTAACAGATTATTCAAAGGTATCATATTTACCTACAGCTTCCTAAAATGCCCAAAGCTGGTGTTCTGAGTGGGGAAGGTATCCACCCTGGATAGGACGAGACTAAAGAGGACATCTTCCCTCACCTCCTGTGGCAGGCTGCCCGGCCATGCCCACCCAGTCCCCATGAGTGGACCCTGTGTGGATACAGGGGCAGAGGTGCTGGAGCTGAGCTGAGGAGAGACAGGAGGCCTTCTGACCCCAGGATGGGCGTTCCGGGAACGTAGGAGACAGGAACCCATGTTGTTGCTCTCTGCAGTCAGTGCAGGTTTGCAGCCACAGCTGATGACCTCCCGTCCACTCTCATGCCAACTCCACTGCTCCGATGTCCCTTCAGCCAGGTTCCATCGCTGGGTCCAGGACTGCAGGGCCACCCAGGCTTCATCTTGGCTCCAGCTGCCACAGGGACCCTAAGGAGCATCTTGGGGACCTCCAGTCCCAGGTCTTGTCAGCACCGTACTGAGCACTCAGGTTCCTGCCTTCATTTGCCACAGCAACTCTGCATCTGCACCTCCTGGCGATGCCAGGGGCCCCTCTTGGCTCCCTGCAGTGCATACAACACACTAGACTCTGGCGCCCAGTATGGGAGACAACTGGCGCAGCTTCCTGCATCTCTCCTTTCCCAGTGAACAGGCAGCTGGTCGCTTTGCTCTTCTGGAAGCGTATTTTGGATGGATTGCTTTTATTTTTCCTCTTAAATACAATAAACAAGGGACTGAGCTCTGGGTGGTCACTTCAGGGTGCTGGGTGACCCTAACACCCAAGCTCCTTACTCAGTGTCCTGTTCCCGTGTGGGCACTGGTTTCTGCCTTCCAGCAGCAGCTGCTCCACACTTGAAATGTTAAATCCTGAAGACAGTCTCTAAAGCAGTCTGTGAGGTTTTTAAAGGCATTCAGCAGGCAGCTCTGAAATCCACAGCCGGAGGTGAGCAGGAGGAATGGCGGGTGTGAGCCAGAAGAGGAGAGGAAGGCAGTGTGCAGAGGGCACCCCAGGGCCGGGGCCCAGGTTCCCAAGCAGAAGAATCATCCTGGATCCATGGGAGGCGGCTGCAGGCTGAGCTGTGCTCACTGCCCCATGGGACTCTGGCCTCTGGGGCCCTGAACACGCGTGGCCACGGCACAGTGTGCTGCCCGGCAGGCGGCTAGGGTGATGTCCTGGGTTTGCCGCGGTGCAGGGATACAGACTGAGTGCTGGAGTTTACAGCAAGTATGGTAAGAGCCCGCTGCAGCTGTGGGGTTCTTTTTTAATATGTGTGAATAATCATTTCCAAAGTGAGCGATCCTGAAGGAAAGGATCCACTTACTCTGCCTGGATCACAGAAAGGAAAATCAGGAGCAACAGATGACACTATTCATGGCCTCTTCCGCTGGTACAGAGCAAGCCAAGGGACAGCACAGGCCTGGCAGAGCTGCTGGACACCCCCGCGCCCCAGCACCTCAGACTCATCCTGCTTGGGCTTGGCCCGCGGGGTCTCTGCTGTTGCCCCTGACGCCAGAGTGAGAGGCGGGACACAGCCTGTCAGGGGCTAGCTTCCTGTCCCAGGACTTCCTACCTCTGATCCTCTGCAGCCCGCCAGCTGGTCACTAAAATCCCACCTGGAGAGCAGCTATGCCCCTCTTTGAAAGCAGTCCGGGCCTCCCCTGGGTAGCAGCATGCATGCAGGGTGTCCCGGCCAGTGTTCAAGATGTCCCCTCTGGAGTTTACCTTGGATGGTGGCCTTCAGGACTCGGCCTCAGGCTAGCAATAATGAGAACTATTCCACTGCAGAATTTCAACTTCACATCTGTAACGACTGTCTCCCACTCCTTCTTTGCATACTACTCAGGGCGTACACTGTCCACAGCTCCCGGTCTTTCTCCAGCTCTCTGGTGCAGCCTCCTCTGCCACACCCTTCTGCCCCTTCTGTTTCTGCTTGGAGCTGGCCATGGACTGAACCCACTGAAAGCTTAAGCCAAAACAACTCTTCCTTCTTCTCAGTGTTTTTCTGAGATATTTGGTCAGTGATGAAAAGCTGACACTAAAGCAGTCAAAACCAACTTTCTAGAAAGGAAGGTAGAGCAACTGGAAAGGTTACAGGGAACCGAGTGCTTTCAAAAATCAATTATAATGAGCAAATGTTCAGGACAGCTCTTTTAAAGCTTTTAAAAGCAGATGGCTCCTCTGAGTAGATTAGGTATTCCTTCTACAGTTGTATTTGTTATTAATTTGCATGATTGGAAAGATGTAAAATCATGGGTGGGCTCTAAATGAGCTGAATTTTAAATGAAGAATTTTTGCAAAATAAGAATTAAGTACTTAAATCAAATAAGACAGAAGTTCTAAGATCCTTGGTGATTACTGTAATGTTTTGATTTGTTCCGATTCCGTCATCTTAAAACTACAGATTCAGTTTTATTTAACACAGGTTTCCCTGCGTGTGGAGAGCAGGGATGAACAAGGTCACGCCTTATATGAGGAGCTGAGTTTGCTTTCCTGTCCGTCTGTTCAGCTGGTTTTTGGCTTGAGTTTGGTTTGACGTCACCCAGTTCACACAATAGCCATCCGAGAAGGTCCGCTTTTCATTTGAGAATACCCTTCCGTGCACACTACACTTGGAGCTCACAGCCTCAATCCCAGGTGTGCACTCGCCCGTGCCTCCGTGTGACACACACCCCCTGCATGTGCCAGTGTAGATCTGCATCGCAGGACTACGCACCTTCCTGAGGTATCCCGGAAAGTCCATGACCACGTCCTCAGGGGAGAACTTTCCCCTCCTTCTGAGGGTTCACTGTTGGCCTCTCCTACTGTGGTTTCGAAGGTCCTCTTGTCCCCTGCGGCCCAGGAGCCCCCGCTGCACACTTACCTCCAATCGCTTGCTTCTTCCTCTCACTAAACTGGACCTCCACATACTTTATGAAGCAACTGGACAGGTCATTGAGTGGGGTCCTGGCGTGTCCGAAGGCCTCTAAGATGCACATGACCTGCAGCAGAAGAGAACGTTTCTACCAAACCACTCATTTAGAAGATAAAGTCAGGGGCAACAACCAAGAAGCAGGGAGTTCTCCACTGCCTACCAGACTCCCCCCCCCCTTCCTCTCTGCCTCCCCCTCCCCTCTCCTCCCTCTCCCTCTCCCTTCCTGTCTGCCACCCTCCCCCCCCCATCTATGGTAATAATACTGGGGATGGAATCCATGGCCTCCACACTGAGCCACATCTCTAGCCCCTACCTCTTAAGAGCTTTATTTTGAGACAAGGTCTCAAAAGTTTCCAAGATGTCCAGAGTGGTTTCTAAACTATTCTTCCTGCCTCAGCCTACCAGAGTGCCAGATTATAGTACAGGCATGCACCAACCTCGACTGACTAATTTTTTAATGCCACATTGAAATTTTAACATAGCTCTGTCCAAATGCACATTCTTAGTACTGTAGCAGTGTCCCCAAGTGCAGCCACTGATAGTAAACTGCCAGGTTCCTGCCCTACCCCCTCACCCACCTAAGTGGGGGAAATCTACACTCACACACCACGCACGCACGCACATGCATGCACACACATGAGAAACGCTATTTGAAATTTCAGTCTTGGCCAGAACAGTAGAACATCACTGACACTTTGGAGTGGAAAAGTCTGAAGCTGGTGAGCACGCCTCAGAGATGCTTTTCAAACAACGAATGCAGTGAACATGAGCTCGTCGGGGCCCTGCATCCTCACTCCGCAGAGCCCTCTCTCCTGGAGACAGAGGCTCTGTCTCCAGCAGCCCCTGGCTCCCCCAGAGGCAGGAAAGGGTGTCCTGGTCCAGCGCTGAGCTGGTCTCCCGCAGGCCTAAGGTCGCAGGTGCCAAAGCTTACGGCTTCAGAACGCTAAGGATAAAGTTCCTCAGATCCACCTTCGGTTCTGAAATTCATTTTGGACACTGCCATGAAATAGAAGCCACTTCTATGCCAACTTATTGATAATGATGGTGACAAAGCAATTTTCCAAAGAGTTTGAAAATCTGGAAGAGTCAAAGGTGACTTCTTGCAGTTAGAGAGAAAACTGCAGTTTCCATGTCAGCCACAAGAGGGGGCACAATCTCACCTTTTGAGGACAGGGGTTGTACCAGTCCCTGCAAGTTCTGGGAAACTCATTAACCTTTAAAGCTTGCTTTCTCTCCCCTTCTCAATTTCCTGACAGCTGCTGCACCAAGCACTTTGTTTCTCCTGAAAGTGTTCCGTGTTATAAAAGATTACACAGCAACAGTGATGCCAATCTTGAATCAGAATTGCTAAGAGCAGGGAGGATGGAAAACCGTGTGTTTATGGAGTTTGAAGATAAACACAGAGAGGTCTTCACAAGACCCCACAGTTAGGGTGCACGTGTGATAATTTTAAAGGTGAGCACGTGTAAACAGCAGCAAGATGACAGAGATGTTTTCAGAAGGGAACATGGCTTGGTGCTTGGACTGGTTTTGTGATCCTGTTGCAGAAGTCTGATGTTAGGTGGAATTCACACTGGACCTGTGTGATATCACTTAGTGAATAACACAAACCACAGTTTAAGAATTATAGACGTCAGATGAGTTTTTAAGCACGTTTCTCGTTATTTTGGCAGTGTACGGACTAGGAAGGTGAGGTTGTAATTATCCTATGTGGAAGTACCTGGAGGTAGTTAAGGCTCAGACCGGAAACACAAGGAGAACCCGTGCACAGGCTCAGGGGTGGCAGAGGCCTTGTCCCCGCCCCAGGTGAGCCGAGCAGAGGGACATAAGTTCCCGGGTCCACACCCTTCATCTTCCATTTCTCGTATACATGTGTCTACATGATTTCTTTTAATTCTCTTAACCAGTCTGTTTCATAAATGAGCAAGTTAAGTAAAAGAGCTTCCTCAGCCTCAGAGCCTCTAGATATAAAATCCGGGAGCTGGGTGTGGCCCAGATCGTCTGCAGAAGCCACAGCGCCTCAAGGCAGCATGGTCATCACCCGGCTTCTGCTGTGGGAATAACAAGGACATTTGAGTCTCGAGGCTGCTGGAAACTGAAAATCCTATGCAAGACGCCAGCACCCGTGTGGCCTCCCTTCACTGCACACTGCTGTCCCACAGCCAGGGGTCAGAACCCCGAGCTCACAGGAGCCGAGCTGCTTCCATCCTCACCACCAGCCAGTGAGAGGAGAGGCAGCTTCTGTGTCAATAGGCGGTGCCGAGCAAACGCAGTGAGAGCAACACTCAGGCAACACAAGCTGGAATTCTCAACTGCTGGCCTCGCCTTTGAAGCAAAATAATGAGAATGCTGCATAGTAATAAACTTTAAATAACAACATAAGCAAAGGAAAGGAGATAGTTGCATCCTTGATATTAAAGGATTCAGTTTATTGGCATGATTTTTTCCCTTTCATGCTGCACGGTGCACAGTTCAAAGATTACATGACAGCAATGTGTGTGCTGTTTTGGTTGTAGCCAATCTGTGCTCACCATGTAGTTCAGGCTCCCTTGAACTCACTATCTAGCCCAGGCTGACCTAGAACTTGCATCAGTCCTGCCTCAGCCTATCTAGTACTGGGATTACAGGCATGCGCCACCAACCAGGGTGTTCTGTTTTCTAAATGTGAAAACCTGTGGCCTCCTTTGTAAAAATTAATTCCTCACCCACCAAGTTGAGTGGATCACTCTGCTCTGTGAACGCTGTTGCTCAGTAAGAGCTGATTTCAGTGATGTGAATGAGACTGAATGCTACTTTCTACAGCTGAAATCTATTTGGGCCAGCATTGGCAAGAAGTCCAGGTCAGTTTCTCTTCAAAACTCGACTTCTCCATTCCAGTTGCCCACTGACATGGACCATTCCTTGCTTCTGATGCTTGAGGTCCGGGCCCTGGAGTTAGGAGCAGAACCGCCTTTGCACGGCTGTCTTAAAGCTGCACGGGATGATGGCACAGTGCCTTGTGGGGACCACTGGTCCCGGCCGCAGGTGGAGATGAACACCCCCACAAGCCACCAGGCCTGGCCACTGCCCAGGCCTCAGGGTCCATGTCCACATCAGAGGCCCCGGGGTCCTCTGATGACCAGTCCTTTCAAATCAGCCTGAGTTGTGAGTTGATCTCCAGCTTCCAACTGCACAGCTCTGCAGCCAGGGGCGCCGTCTTTTCCGCTCCCCCTCAAGCAGCTTTGCTCTTACGCAGGTGTGCTGCCCTGCTGTCTCCCAGAAGCACTCAGTTTCCCTGACTGCCCAGCCGTTGCCACAGCGTACATGCAGACACTTACACCGTCACTCCCATGGCACAAGCTTCTACACTGTTACGTTGCTCCTTGCAGACAGGCAGTGGCTGTTTCACCGTCAGAGGAGCCGCATCTGTTCTGTCCACTGGACTCTGGCGCTGTGCACTGCCGAAGCTCTGGATCAAGTGGGGTCTTTCATTGTTTAGATTTTTTATTGGTTCACGCTTGCACTATGCGAGGGTCACAGCCCTCATGCAGAGCTGGTGCAGGTGCTGACGCAGCCTCTGTCTTTTTAGGCCTCTTTCCCTCTCCCCCTTTGGTCTCCTTCCTCCCTCTCCTGCTCCCTTTTCTACCCCTCTCCCTGATCTTTCATTTTGTTCCTTGTTTATACATCTCACATAACAGAAACCGAGGGACACTGAGGCTTGTACATGTGACTGATTTCACTTAACATGCCAGTCTCAAGGAGGTGTGACAGGTGTCTCTCTCTGCGGCCACAGTGGATCTGGACACTGCTCTGCCTCACCCCGCCTTGGTCCCCCACTGTGAGGCACACAATGCCTGTGATTCAGTTGCTGTTTTTGCTTTCATTTGCTCTTTGCTGGTCAAGGCAAGGACAAAGCACCTATGTCCATCATTTCCTTGACTGTCACCCAGCGCACGCTGACGGCTTTTACCAGAAGGAGCTGGATGTGTCTTCTGAGCCGGATCGAACAGATTCTTCGTGTTTACGTTTGACAGCCATCCACCTGAGAGATGGCCAATTTTAAGAAAAATGTCTGCTATGCCTGAACCAAAATATAGACAGTAAAGATAAAAATAGAAGGAAGAAAATCCCCACTCTTACTAAAATCAGGGCAAATATGGTCAATGCAAGAAAATGCATGGCTCTGTAAACCGCCCATACACATAGCACACATACCAGAATTTATAAATGGTGATCCACATTCAGTTTATTCGGTGATATCAGGTAAGTTGATGCAGTAAATTTAGAACAATTCAATGTATCCAGCTATGCCAAACTTTTTGAAAACCTTTCACTCTTATACTCATTCACACATTCCTGCAGCAGGCTAAGATGATGTCACTGAAGCCCAGGGACAGCCTGGCAGGTGCAGCACTTCCTAGGAGAACAGGGTGGGTGGCCGGAGACTGGGAAGGTGCAGCCAGGTCCCCAGCACTGCGGCGGGGAAGTCACACTAATGCTGGGGAGCCTACCACCAGTGCTGAGTGACAGGGCTGTCCTTTGGGGTGGCAGGATCACATGGGAGCTGTGAAGACAGCAGTCCTGGAGCTGCAGGTCCAAGAGCCAAGTCCCAAAGCTTTCGACTGTTTCCTCCCCAGTCGCTTCAGCTGTGTGCACGGCTGGCTCCGGTGGCCCTTGAGCGCACCCGAATTCGAGCTGTGACTGGAGCAGGCTCCTCATCTGTGCCCAGGACTTGGGCCCTTTCTCCCTTCCTCGGTGGCCCTGATGACCCTGGAGTAGGGCTGTCCTTATCTGCCAAGGTGCAGGGGGAGAAGATAAGCATGAGCCTCAGAACTGGACGGTGGGAGGCAGGGGGCTCCAGGTCCCCAGGGTGGAGCTGACATCAGCTGTGCTGAGTACAGGCGGCCAGCACGTGACACAGAATGGTGGCAGAGGACCAGCATGGAAGTCACAGTCCCAAGGGAGCCTGCACCACACTAGACAGAAGCTCCTGGTGGAGCCAACAGTATGTAGGGGGGTCAGGCTGCAGGCTGAGGCCACCAAGCAGGGGACAGTGGGGTTTGACACTCTCTGGATGGGTCAGTGATGAAGGCTTCCATCTGGTCTTGAGGCCCAGTGTCCTCCTCATGTCACCACAGTCCCGAGCAAGGCCACGTGCTGCCCCATTTCTTCACCCCACCTGGCCTGAAAAGTCCTGCAAACAGAATTCACTGGAACCATGTGGAAACCGAAGCCACCAGGCACACGGGGACTGCAGGGTCCCCTGAGTTCCACCACAGGCCAGAGCTCCCGGTGCTCTTCCCTGCAGTAGAGCACTCGGCCTCTTCCTCCACCTGGGCAGTGTCACATGTGGAGGAAGTGACAGGGTCAGGCCCTTAGTGACACTGAGCACAGCACCATAAGCGCACCCGACTTCATGCAGGATTGGTCTGGGGCTGTGGTTTCCCACTCGCCTGTCCCCATCTTTCCCCTCAGCTGCTGTCAGCTCCACCAGACATTTGGATCCTTGATGATCAGCTCTCAAGGGTTCCTCAGAATCAATGGCTTCAAGGCCAATGTCACTCAAGGTACCCAAGTGGCACTTTCTAGAGCAGCTGCATTAACGGCCAACCACAATGCATGTTCCTGGTCCACGTGACTGGAGCGAATGTAAAAACATGTGTGTGTTCAAAGCACTGTTAAACACATTTAAAAATTCACATGCACAATGCTACATTGCAGTGGCATCCAATCTCGTGGTTCCCACCCCAACACACACACAACGTGCGCACACACACACACACACACACACACACACCATGTTTGGCAACTTTTACCCATTCGACGTCCTTCTCCGTTTGTAGGTGACGCCTTTCTGACTTCACCACACTCACTCACATGGCTGCCAACCCGGACAAGCGACTCACGTGTCTGAGCCTGGTGTCCAGTAGAGCACGGCTGGAGGCGGAGCGGCAGGTCAGGTGTCGCACTATTTGCTTGCAGGCCTCTGACTTCCCTGACCCTCTCTCTCCACTAGGAGGAAAGAGGGAAGAGGTGAGTGTGCTGTTTTGGAGAAGGCAGTAGAGGAAATTAAAGAGCAGAGACAAATCTCAGTCACAGAGTTGGCAGAGGAGGAGAGCAGCCGCAGCAGCCAGGGGATGGCACTGTCTCGCTCTCTCATGTGATGCATTTGTTTCCAAGCTTGAGAAGCAGGTGCCAGGTCCTGGGTCACAGGGTAGATGCTGGGACATCAGGTGAGCATGAGGCAGCCTCCAGCATCCAGGGCCCTGGAGCTCAGGGGGCACAGATCGGCTTCCTGGGTTTGTCTTCAGCAGCCTGAAGGACAGCCAGGGAACCCCCCAGAAACCCCAGGACCAAACTGACAGTGGAAAGTGCACGTGGCCATCCCACAGTCATCTGGCGAGGCTTGGGGAACACGTGATCTCCCGCATAGTGCAAGGACTCTGCATCCTCCTCAGTATAGTCACCCCATCTTCCTGAGCACCTCTTCTTTTCTTGGAGAGAGAAACTGAAGTGTGCACTGCTCATACAATGCTGGCCAGGTCCTCACTGGGCAGACCCCGGATGGACCTCTGGAAGCTTGACATTCTCTGGTTCGCACTTTTGTTTTAATCTAGGAACCTGTCAGGAACTCCACTTGGAATCTAGTGACCACATCTGGATGCCTCTGCGTATGCTTCCTTAATAGATCCAGTTTCTACAAGCAGTGTCTGTGCTGTATTCCTATCTCACCATGAGCCAGTGTTGGGTTATCATAGAATTCCTCTGCCGTAATCACCAAAGTGATTCCATATACGATATTATTTGTGCTTCTACATTTTTAGCCTTTAGCTGGTAGCAAAATTAAAAATCTCATTTTTTGAAGTTCTTTGACTAGTACTTTCTTAGGTTCTTATCTCAGAAATTTATTCTAATGAATTTGATTAAAGGGTATTGATTTTCCTGGAATAAAAGCAATGATTTGAGTCTCAACTTGCTAATGAATGTAATTTTTCCAGTGGTCTGCACTGATCTTAACACTTTATTGGCATGTAGCATTAGGTACAAAATGAGACATTAAAAGTAAGATCTGGAAAGAAAACAAATCATGCTGGTAATGGGACTTCCATTCTAAGGATATCCGAGGTTTGTTCATCAAATCTTGAGTTACTCATCTGTAATGCAACTTTTGGGGCTTCACAGAAACTCCACAAATGGTGCACAAGCAGCTTGTGTGCAAATCCCCCGGCCAGCTGGGTAAAAAGAACGTGTTTCTTTTCAAAATTAGGGGTGGGTGCCTCACGTTATCAGCCTCACGGTGTGCCCCAAAGGATACTCCTGCAGAATATCATTGAGTCCTCCCAGGAACAAAACTCCAGAAGCACACACAGGCAGTGATGGGCAGGTGATGGGTACCAGGGGCCACGTGGCAGGGGCCCAGTTGTCTTCAGGGGCCATGGCCCTCCACAGCTCTCCAGCCACCTCTAGAGGGCTTCCTTTAGAAGGCAGTGATCCCATGAGATCTTGGGTTATCATCACTACCTTTGCCGTCATCACCTTCCAGATACTGAGGCTGCTCCCCTCATGGGGTTTTGGAGAATGGATGTGCTGATATCCAGGGCCGGCAAAGAACACGTTCTCAGGAGGGCTGGCTATCACTGTCAGCACGATTTTGTGCTCTTCCCAGCCTCACTGATTTGCCTTGCTTTCAAAGTAAATTTTAAAAAGCATTCCTTTTTCAATAGAGACCAGAAAGTGCAATAGATAAAGCAAATAAAAAGATAGTTGTCTGATTCAAGAATAGGTGGGACTCCCCTCTGCACTCCATCTCCAGTGCTCCTCTGGTCCTGGGGATACCTTAGAACAGTATGAAAACATCCATCTAGGATCCACCCAAGTTTGAGACTCATCCAGTCAAACCCTCCATGGTTATTTGTTAAATAGAATTAATAATGTAAAAGGGTATAAATAAGTGCTTCTCTAAATAAATCTGTTTCTGCACAGGCTCTGTATGTACTCTCTATTTCACGTGAAATTGAGCAAGAACTACTTTAGGTACCTGGTCTGTTTCCACCAACACTACTGATAACTGGGCAAAAACAGGAGGGTTTGGGCTGGGGATTTAGCTCAGTGGCACAAGCGCCTTCCTGGCAAGCATGAGGTTGTGAGTTTGATCCCTGGTATCAAAAAAGACAAAACAAAACAAAAAATCAGGAGGATTTGTAGACCACTCCCTCTGGCAGAAGTTTGAACTAATGTAGAAGATAATTCCTGCAGATCTTATTTTAGTACTTAAATATTTCTCCAGTTCTCTCAGTTCAAATAATGATGGTCCAGCCCTTCTTCTTGTGTTAACCCTCTGTTATTTTGGGAGAGTTTCTGATCCACCGTAAATCAGCAAAGTTGAGTTGCGATTGTATTTCAGGACTTGCACGTGGAGAAGCGTGAGCAGAGGTGCACACTTTGGCTTTGGGGAGGGACAGGAAGGGAATTGTTCTTGTGCAAAGAAACCAAGTGGCCTCCCCAGTGCGTGTGAAGCAGGGGCTCAGGCCACTGGTGTGGGGTGCATTCGTGTCTCTGAGGTTCTTGCATTGGGCAGCAGAAGCGCTGTGGCTCTAACGCTCACATCTTCAAATGGAAGAGAGTTTCTCTGTGAGTTCACTGGTGAGGATTCTGTCCCTCTTGGGGCAGCTTGGGACAAGAGGGATGTTTTTGTGCTGTGACCAGCCAGTTGAGCTTAGTGCACAGCTAAAGTGGGAGGAGGCTGGAGCTCACAGGATGTGCCTCTACCCCACCACACGTGGAGCCCCCTGAGCACTGGCCAAGGTCGGAAGAGAGGTGGGGAGACTCACCTGAGCACGAAGCACTGGGGCCTGCGGTCCCTGAAGAGCTGGTGCACAGCGCGCTCTGCACAGGAGAAGAGATGAGGGGGCAAGGAGGGGCTGGGCGTCCCCGTGCGGCTCAGGTACAGCTGTGACACCTGGACAGCAAGAGGCAGAGGCTGTGGAAACGTCCTCCACCGCATCCCAGGCCCTGACTCCCGGGTCCCATGGGAAACACAAGCCAAGCACTCTGATGGAACCCGGTTCAGCCCTGGAGGGTTCCTCCCAGCCAAGCGCAGGCCCCAAGCTACGGTTCCTATCTTGTCCTCTCTTCTTGGTCCATGGGCTGAGCTTATTCTACTCAAAGGCACTTTGCAAAGATCCAGTCTCACAGAGACCCCTGCGGGGACTAGAGCCATGGTGAGTCACATCGAATGATTTCTCTGAACAACATTTAGCATCAGCAGCCTTCTAAACTCATGCATCAGAAGGCAGCTGAGACGGGATCATACAGGATCCTGCAAAACAGAAGCCCAGTGAGCTCCCACTAAAGGCTGATTTCTAATTGCCTTGGTGACTCACTGCCAGCAGTTTTTGGTCCTTTTCAGTTTCCGGAGACTACTCTTGCATTAGAATTAAAAGTAATAGGAAGCCTTTGGGGCCATAGAGAAATTACTGGAGAAACTTAGTTTTTTAAAAAAAAAAATGTAAAATAACAGGTCCCTATCTTTCAGGACACCTGCTTGCCTATTTCCACCTGGCTGGTGACACCAGCTGGTGATGCAAACTCAGCTGTCACAGTCAGGCAGCGAGGCCTGGGCAGGTGAGTATGCAAGAGGGGAGGCAGCAGCTTTGGGAGCACTGGTTAGGTTGCAAGTGTGAGCTCTTGTTTGGACACGGGCCCCTCCGCATCTCCGCATGGTGAGCTCTGTCCTGCCCTACAGGTACGGGACACCACATCCCCAAGCTGAGGTCACTGTGCAGGGTATGCAGCTCGGAGGCTGGAAAGGCAGGTCCCCGGCACAGACCTCGAAGCTCAGTTCCACCTCTTTGAGGTGAGGATCCGGCGCCCAGGGGCCGCCTTACTGGGCAGCGGTAAAGCGCGGTGCTGCGAGGATGGGGTGTCTGTTTGTGGAGGAAGAGCTTGTGATTCCTGCTTCACACCTGTGTACAGGGTGCCTGTGAGTGAACTGAAATCCAAATACGAGTAGCAAGGATTGGAACATTTACATGGGATCTCACTCTTATGGATCGGAAGGAAGGAAACAGTTCACAGTTACAAAGGAGCATTCTCCCCACGCTGAACCTAACAGCTCCTGCTCAAGCTCACAGTAATAAAATACAGCAGGTGAGATCAGCAGGCAGAATAAGCTGCACATGTAGTCAGAAATGGTCAGCAGTCTGTAACTGATTCCTGAAAACCAGTTAGAAAAGATGGAAATACGACAGAAAATGGCCAAGAAAATAATTCTATTGTATTCCGTCTTCTCTCAGTGGATGGTTAAGGAAGGTGTTTTTTTGTTTGTTTGTTTGTTTGTTTGTTTTTTTTTAATGAGGAATTGAACTCAGGACCTTGCACTTGCCAGGCAGGTGTTGTGCCACTGAGCTGTATCCTGGCCCCAAGGAAGCTTTTCAACAGAATATAAATAATATGTCCTCTGAGTAAGTTAAAAACAGAAGAAATGGTTAACACATATACATGTGTGCAGTAAACAGACAAGGGTCACAAGGTGTGGCAAGGCCATCAGAGTGACTATCATTGGGTCTGGAAGTGACCTCTGCTCCTCTCTGTCACTGGCTCGAGTCCTCATCTCTGGGACGCCCTGTACTTTGAGCATACGGCTATGGAGCTAGGAACTGGAAAATAAATGTTACAATTAGATAAAGCCATGCTTTCTCATCACAGCTTCAAAGCTGCACTGCCTTCTCAGGAATATATGAGGAAACAGGAATTTTATTCATTTGTTTACACTAATTTATTGGCATCTTTTAGATACACAGTGATCACATTCATCACAGAAGATTTGTACCCTCACACAGTGTATCTTGATTCCCTCTTTTCCTCCTCCCGAGTTCCTTTTCCCATTTTAAATGTGGATTTTAAAAAATATATATAGATGAATAACAGGCACACATTGTCTAGTGTATTACACTTACCCGTTTTGTATTTTCCTTATTCTGGGATTTAGGATGAGTATTTAAAATCACTCAATGCCAGTAATATACACATAAAATAAGCAGGTAGGTATCACCCAAGGTTATTTTCTTGCAGGACAAATGTCTTATTTTGAAAACTTGCTCTAACACAAGTTCACTTTTCTCCAAGTCCATCATGGATTTAATTTAATTTTGACAAAAATGTTTTTAACCGTGATCCGTCCCACACACTGCGGGGGCTCACTGTCTGTTACAGTAGGGTGAGGGGCTGAGTGCCCTTTCTCTAAGCCCCTTTGGGCAACGCATTTCCCTTGGGCAGAGCTGCACTAGCTGCTGCCTTGGGCTGAGCTGTGTCTGTCCTCACAGCCTGTGGCCTGCTGGTCACGCCTGTCACCTCTCAGTTCTTCTGTCCTGGAAAATCTGTCCTTCCCCAGGCAGAGCCTCATGGCACACCCCACTGCCGCCGCTGGGGGACGCTCTACTGGGGGCCACTCGGTGCCCGAGGACACAGATGCTTCCATTTCAGTCTTTTTCTGTTGAAGCGGATGGGTTTTGAGTTCTCCAGTGGCTGACAGCCATCTGCCTTTTACACCAGTTGTTAGTCGGTCCTCGATGTCACCGTGCCTTCTCGTGGGTGCAGAGGTCTTGCTGGGCACTGGCCATGCCTCCCATTCCCCTCTCTCTGCCTCACCTCAGGCTTGCTTGTGCCCTTGGAGTTAGGAGGAGACCATCGGACTCGAGGCCAGGAGGCACTGCCAGACTCCGTGTCAGCCCCGGGTGTGCTGTCGCCAGTTTCCGGCTCATCTCCCCTGGACCCCTGGGCCACTGCACACGCACCCTTATTTGTAGCCTCTTCCCTCCTATCTTCACAGGCATGGTGCCTCTCCAAGAGCTTACAGCATGCTGCAGGGGCCCAGAGAGAAGCTGACACTTGGTCCCCATAGCACAGCCTCACCCTGTGTGTAAGGGAACCTTCGGAGGCCTCAGAGGATGCCAGCCTGGGGCCCCAGCTCTAGCTTTCCCCGTGGCTGTGGCCATTTCACTCTCCTGCTTCATATATGGATGAATATGTGGCCTACGCAGCACGGGTGAGTTTTGGAAAAGTATGGGTTTTTACAAATAGCTGAACAGAGTTAGAGAGAAGGTTTTCCTCTGGGCCCGCACCGGTGCTGCTGAAAAGTAGCTCTTAAATTAACTTCATGACCTAGGCCTTAAATAGGTCTTCAATATCCAAGCTTTGGACTTCTTGCCCTTACTAAACAGGATGGCACATGCCTCTCTGTGGTTGGAGATTGCTTTTATTTCACGACGATGCTGTAGCGAACTCTCCTGCCCAAGACAGAGACCCTCTCCCTTACTGTTCCCTTTCTAAGTCTTTCAAGTTTCCCCAAATCACCCCTCCTTTCCACGGAATGGCTCAGCTTGGTGTAGCTTCTGCCCTTTTAACCTCCTTGCAACCAACGTGGCAACACGAAACTTTACAAATTAGAGTGTTTCCCTTTGGAGAAGGCCGCTTCTCCACACCTCCTCAGGTCTCGGGCATAACCATGGCCCTCTTTCCTCCTCCGTCCCGAGGAACGAGGAACAGATGGAACACACCAGTGATGCTGGCGTGTCAGGAGGGCAGGCTCAGGGAGGGTTTCCATAGAACACAGGAGAGGGAAGAGGCCAGTGTGGAGTTGCCCGTTATCTCCATGTATTCCCTCTTCTTTCTTCCTGACTTACACGTGTGAACACAGTGAGATGGCTCCTTGGTCTCCTCTGAGCTAGCTTGGAATGAAGTTTTTTCCTTTTGCAAAAAAGGCCTCCCTTGGTTTGTCTGGGAGTCATGAGCACACAGCACCTGCGTATACCGGCTCGAGTGGCTGGTGCCATCCCGACCTGTCACCAGTCAGGCAAATGCTCAGTTCCTTCATGGGTCCTCAGATGCAAATGAAGTCTGTGATGCTTCCTGTCACTTGAGTTTTGCATTTACACTGCAGTCTGAAAGGTGAGAAGTATTAATGGTTTATATCTGAAAAGTCTCCCAAACGTCTTTTGAATCCAGAGGTGAGGTTGTTGGAAGGTGACAGGTCATCCTCCATTGAGTTCAGTGGGCTGTTTGGAGGCGGAGCCTTGGCTGGAAGAGGTCCCTGGGGGTACGAGCTATGTTCTTGTCTCTGGCTCCTCCCTTATTATTGTTTCCTGGCTTCCATCAGTCAAGCAATTTTCCTCTGCAATGTTCTTCCACTGTGATGCTTCTGCCTGGAAGCCAGCCTACCATGGAATGAACTTCCCGAACTATCAGCCCAAATGAAATTTCCCCCTTGAAGTTTCAAGTGTCAGATAGTTTGTCTCAGATACAGAAAAAAAGTGTCAAAATGAGGACACTCAGTGTCCCTCAGCATCTCAGAGAATTTTCCTAGTATGTAGTCAGTGCATGCTCCTGGGCTTCAAAAAGCATGGCAGTTCCTACTTTAAGATTGCTTTGGCAGAGCCCAAACAGAAAGATCCAGCTACATTCCTGTCTTCTCTCTCTTCCTTAAATCTCACATGCTCAAACAACAGTGTTAGTTCAGCACAGAGAGACAGCACAACCCAGTTCCCTGGTGGACCAGTTCCCAGGTCCCCACCAGGGCCCCTTTTCAGTGACTGTCAGTACCAGATCCATGTTGCCATGTGAGCAGGCATCCATGGACCAAGCTTCTTGTTGCCTGGTTCTTTTGGGAGTCTCAACACGAGGGTGGCCACGACTGGCGACTGTCAGGAACCAGAAATGAGCATCCTGCCAGGCTTAACCCAGCTCGCTAAGCTAGCAAAGCCAGCAGGAAACTCAGAAGTTTCAGGGAGGCATCTAGACATGAACAAGTTAATTCATTCTCTTGGTCTTTACAAATAGGATAGTGCTTTATACACAGGAATACTGCTCATAGGTTATTTCCTATATATGATCATCCTTAATGTGTCTAAGCAGCAGAGGAAGAAACTATAATATCTGACAGGAAATATCATTTGAAATAGC